TAATTATAAGTTTCCTAGGGTTTCGACGACCTTTCTTACACTTTCCGATTGCCGGTAATTATTACCTGGAAGTGTAGGAAAAGTCGTCGGAACCCTAGGTAACCTGTAATTACAGGTTATCAACTAATTTCTAAGTTTAAATGTTTCAAAATAAAATATTTATAAATTTGATTACAACTTTTAAAAATTTAATGAATTAATTTTTTGAGTAAAAGTTTAATTACTTATTTAACCATTTTCCCAGTATTAAATAATAAGTCAATGTACCAGGACTATGTAGTCTAATGGTATCCGGGTTGGACTTCCATTTGGAAGATTATGAGTTCAAGCCTCAGTGGAGGCGTTATTGGTTCTTTGTGTTTCAGTAGGTTGAGAAAGTATATGAACAGATACTACAATGTAATAGAGCCAGTAACTTTAAAAAAAAAAAATAATAATAATAATAATAAGTCAATGTGGTAGTAGTTCAATGTTCAAGCCCACCGGAACAACCCACAAAAGCCCATGTTAATGCAATGGCCCAAAGTGAAAGCCTAAAAACCAGCCCCGCGTTTTACTCCATCTTGATTCGGGAAAGCCTAACTGCTCATAAATCGCAAATTATGCTGTGCAACCGAATGCACCATGCGCATGGTGCATACGATGTAAAACGATGTTGTTTTGGATAAAAAACGCGCGTGCCATTTAAAAAAGAAATCAGGTTCGATTTCCGGCAATAGCATTTTTATATATCCATAAATTCATAACTATATATCCACAAATTCATAACTATATAAGTATATATCCACAATGAATGAATGAAGTAAAAATCCACAATGAATGAACTAAATATCCACAATAATTGAACTAAATATCCACAATGAATGAACTAAATATCCATAAATTCATAACTATATATCCAGAAATTCATAACTATATATCCATAAATTCATAACTATATATCCACAGTGAATGAATGAATTAAATATCCATAAATTCATAATTATATATCCAGAAATTCATAACTATATATCCACAATAATACTATTGCCGAGAATCGAACCTGAATTTTTTTTTTTTTAAAGTGGGACGCGCGTTTTTAGTCAAAATGATGTCGTTTTGCATCGTATGCACCATGCACATGGTGCATTCGGTTGCACAATATAACTATTGCTCATAAATCGGCAAATTATGATGTGGAATCGTGCCCATTTTGTTCCAAACTTTTTATAATTATGAATATATAGTTCAAAAATTATGACCATATAATTCTATAATTATGAATATAGAGTTGTGAACACAATTTTGAACATATAGTTTTGTAATTATGAATATATAGATTCAATAATTGTGAATGTGAAGTTCAAAAATTATAAATATTTAGCTTTATAATTATGAACATATAATTCAGTAATTATGAACATTGAGTTCTGTAATTATGTGGACACAGTTCTATGTTCACAATTACTGAACTCTATGTTCATAATTATAAAACTCTATGTTCATAATTTTTGAACTTCATATTCACAATTATTGAACTCTGTATTCAAAATTACAGAACTATATGTTCATAATTACTAAACTCTAGTTCATAATTATAAAACTCTATGTTCATAATTTTTGAACTTCATATTCATAACTATTGAACTCTATATTCACAATTACAGAACTCTATGTTCATAATTATAGAACACTATGTTCATAATTTTTGAACTTCATATTCATAACTATTGAACTCTATATTCACAATTACAGAACTCTATGTTCATAATTATAGAACACTATGTTCATAATTTTTGAACTTCATATTCATAACTATTGAACTCTATATTCACAATTACAGAACTCTATGTTCATAATTATAGAACACTATGTTCATAATTTTTGAACTCTATATTCACAATTATGACAGTTTTGGAACCATGTCCGCCTTCCACAGCATAATTTGCCTAAATCCACCCCCCCCCCCCCCCCACACTAGCCCATGGCCGGATTTTGTGATGTGCAAGCTGGGCTACAACACAAGGTCCCAAATTTTAGAGGGCTCAATATTTAATTTTAACCTAGCTAGTTTAGAAATAAAAATTAAAAGTTTTCAATTAAACTTAGCTGCATGGAGAAATGGTAGGAACCTGTGCTTATTGTTGGATATTTCGTTGGTAATAAAAATCCAATAATAATCCTACGAAAAGATTATTATTTTATGGAAGAATCGGGAAGAAAAGTGAAGAGATATAGCTCGGGTTTGGTGTAGGTTGTTAGCACGAGTCGAGCAAATAACTCTTTCCTTAAAACCTTATTTGCTACCTCCCACAAGTGCTAGGAACGTTGTAGCCTAGGTTTCCTAGGATAAAACGTGCTGCGATTCAACATTTGAGCACCCAAACTTTGAACCCAGCGAACAAGAATAAGGCTTAGAACACAGTAGGCTTAAGAGAAGAGTAAAAGCAGAGAGTTTTGAGAGCTGAAACAATATATTTTCGTTGTGTGAAAATCTGCTGCTTTACCCCTTCTTATATAGGGTTGAAGGAGTTCAATAACTTGCTTTACCCCTTCTTATATAGAGTTAAAGGAGTTCAATAGCTTTTAATACCAACCTTCTAACTCGTGTAACAACAACCCATTAACTTGAGTTTTAATTCAAAATTTAAAATTTGAATTAATTAAAAAAGGTTCGTGCTTAGCTTAAACCAATCAACTATTCCAATCTTATTTTGGGATTTGATTTGCACCAGCTTGCGCACGAAAGAAAGCCTCTATGCTATGAAATTGAATAAACTTTAGAAGAGCTCTTGTATAAATAGTGGTACAAATCCACTTCTCAAACTAATGTGGGACAAAAGCTACTCTTTTTCCCTTCATTTTTTTAACTCAAATGGGTCTACTTTGAGAACCAATATCTCATTCATCCATTATCCGTTTTGAGCGTACAATATATCAATCTATTCGTCTCACTACGAAGAACCCGAATCCACTTTGACAGGACCCAAATTGAAAGTGGACTCCACTAATAATTGTACCACAAAATAGCCACTTAATATGCCGTTTTATGTCATTTTAAACTATTTTTTCCAACACTTATTTTTTAAAAAATCCTTTTGCATTGTAAGTTTGCGCACACTACTACTACTACTATGACTATTATTATTATTATTATTATTATTAATTATTATTATTATTATTATTATTATTATTATAATTTATTCTATAATATGTTTTTTTTTTTCTTTGCGCATAACAACATTTTACCACCTTCTTCTTCTTCTTATTATTATTATTATTATTATTATTATTATTATTATTATTATTATTATTATTATTATTAAAATACAGTATTGATTTTAAAGATTGTAATTTTAATAGAGCCTCATTTATTTACTAAAATGAGACCACAAAAATTTAAAAATCGATCCTGACTGGCCCCACGGGCCTATGTCCTTAAGTGTCTAATGATATTCAAGCCTTTAATTTACGTATTATGACTAATGTTCTTAATGTAGTGCATGAGCAGAATTGTACCGTTAGTGTTCGTTTAGTTGGTTAGAATTCTCATTTTTTTCAGTTCTTTGTCCTGGCCAGGGATTCAGAATGAATTCTTGGATTTGTGTTTATGGTTCTTGTTTTATGGCCACCTGGTGTTGTTCCTTCACTACCCATGTTTGTGTAAAGCTGGTCAAAATGGATGAAATTAATTGGCCCGGGGTATGCGTGGATCAATAAGTTCACATAAAATTTAAAGGGTAAATTGATAAAGGCAAATAATTGTTGTAATATTAAATGGATTAATGTAAGAGCATTACAAGGACTATTGTGTAAGAATGAGACATGATTTGTAATAACTACATAAGGCCAATTTATACATGGATATTCCAACTAATTTAACTAACTTCGTGGTGAGACACAAAACTTGGTCAAAACCCACATGTTGGGCCGCGGGGTTGGGCCAAATCCAGCCGCTGCACCCCCAAAAAGGACTCTGAGACGCAACAACGATCGTCGGAGGCTGGACCCATGCCCCTGCTCGGGTAGCCTGGCCTCATCCAGGTTGCCTTCTTAGTCTGGACCCCCTTGGTCCGGATCGTCTCTATTGGCCCGGACCACCTTCTCGGTCCGGGTCATTTGCTTGGACCGCTCGGATCATCGTATTAGGCTTGGAATTATGGGCTCCTGAACCCATGATTCCTATTCTTAGGTCATTTTCAATATATCCATAAAAAGCATCGCCCAATGGACCTGGTTTGGATTAATGGCCTCTATCTATACTTCAACTCTGCTACTAGTTTCTTTATGGGGCAAAAGAATTGGTGGATATGGAAACCCACTTAAGCAAAATGAGCTGGACTTGAATTCACCAGTTAAGGTATGGGATGCTTTTCTATTTTAGATACATGTTTAATTTTTTTTGTGTTATCTATAATCTATGTATACCCCAAAAAGTTTGAGTACTGGAAGTGGCCATAATGCCCATGTGCCACTCATATGTTATCATATCCTTGTCTGTCATCATAGTTATACTCATATGTTATCATATCCAGGTTGCCACCACTCTTGCCGGTGCTATGTACATATGTTATCTTTAAAATAAAATTTAAAAAAAAAATTGTTTCTTTCTTTCTTCTTCTTGTAATGTTGCTGCAGAAATTTAAAAAAAAAATTGTTTCTTTCTTTCTTCTTCTTGTAATGTTGCTGCAGATATTCTCCCTCTTCATCTATAGCTAAGACTATTCTTTGTACTTAGTTCACCATGGTAAGCAACTGTCTCTTTCTTTGCAGTGTCCTATAATGGCGTTTTGGTACTACAAATTCAGAGCTGTTTGTCATCACATATCTGCTGAGCTGGAGTCCTTTAGTAGAAATTGTCTTTTTCTAACTTTTTGACAGTTTTAATTAATTTTTACTCATCAGGTGTGGATTTTGCAGGCGAAAGGGACAGAGGGTTGGTTTGGACATCGTTTTCTCCGCAATGAATGAAAACCTCTACCTGAATGGACATTCAATTCTGGTATTTTTAATGCCAACAATTTTGAATTTTCAAATTTCCAATCTTCTTCCCTAAATACACAGAAATTGAAAAGCAAAAAAAATACAAAACAAACGAGAATCATTCGTTAAACAGAAGCAGCCTCTTGAAATGATGAAAATCTCAGATTGGTTTTTCTTATTTATTCATTCAAATTCAGCCTCTCTCCCTCCGGGCATTGCCTTCTTCTTCATCTTCTTTACTCCTCTGCCAATGGCACAGCCTCGGCCAATTTGCGGTATTTGAGAGCATAAAACATTTCCAGATAGCGACGGATCTCCAGGCGATCCAGCTTCGAAACATGCTTCCAGAACCCATAAACAGCCGCCAGTGTCAACAGCCGGTCTGAATATATCTGCCATGTATACCTATTTCAAACAAACAAAGCAAACGCTTATCACTACGCCAGAAGCTGATAGTTGGATTGCACATTAATGGCTATATGCTCACATGTCTAACAATCTGGTGCAGGACTTGACCTGATGGGTCATCAGGTCAAGTCCAGCAGATATGTTTCGTTTTAACTAAAAGATTAGATGCTTACTTCTCCTGGATACGTTTCAACCCGCCCGCTGAGATGGTTTCCCAGTGGGAAGGATCCTTCTTGGACTTCTCGAAGAAATCAACGAGGAGCTCGGCGGCCTGTTCACCGTGGTATGGATCAATGTGGAAGCCAGACTTGCCATGGACGATGATCTCGGCTGGGCCTCCTTGGTTAGTAGCGAAGGTGGGCAAACCACAGGTCATGGCCTCCACCACAGTCAACCCGAAGGCCTCATAGAAGGCGGGTTGAACGAAGGCTCCCCGGGTGTCACAGATGTATCTGTACAGCTCCCCGTTCCTCACACGGTTCATCTGGGAAGAGATCCACCTGAACTGCCCGTTCAGGTTGTGCGTCTCGATCAGCTCGTGCATCTTCTTCATCTCCGCCTGCTCCTCCAGGTCCTTCGACTCCTTCCTCCTGTCGCCCCCGACCACCACCAAATTCACCAGCTCCCTCAGCTTCGGGTTCTTGGCGTACCACTCTACAAGCCCGGTTAAGTTCTTCACACGGTCCAACCTCGCCATCGTGAACAAGATGGGCTTGCTCCTATCCTTTAGCACACACCTAAAGATTGTGCAACAATGCTTCATTACTAGCAAGTTCTAATAATTGACTTTCTGTTATCATAAGTGCTGCAAATGAACTTACAGATGCTCCTCATTCTCGACATCACTATATAGCAAGTCCTCGATTTCGGGGTGAAGGGCTGTCAGCCTCTTCTCCTTCTCGGAGTAAGGGAAGTAGAGATTCATATCAGCTCCTGGGGAAACAATGTTGAATTTCGGGTCGAAAACATCGATTCCATGGACAACTCTGTACAGTCCAGGCATTGTGAATGCCTGATGGCTCTCATACTGCCCAACAGTGTCCTTGCTGGAATCAAAAACCAAACCATTTTTAAATGTAAAACAAAACATTAGCTAAACCCGAAAATTTGACCATATATATATATATATATATATACCTGCCAGCTATCTCCTGGAAGGTGCTGGTGATGATAAAATCAGTGTGGTTCATAGCAATCAGATCAGCAGTGAATTGGCATGAGAAGTGATATTTCTCATCAAACTTCTTCAAGTAAATGTCTGAATCTGGATACTTCGTCTTCTCCAATGCGTGGGCAATGGTGCACTGCAACAACAGAAATTGCAGGAAAATCATAAATCCTTTATACTACTAAACCAATCTAACTATTAGTTGAAATGGAGCACTTATTTTAATTTGGTACGAGCATATAATATATATAAACATAAATGTGCAATCCAGACCTGTGTAACACCCAACTTGTGAGCCAGCAATGAGGCAACAAGATTTCCCTCACTGTAGTTTCCGATAATCAGATCGGGCTTAGCCTGCAGCTCTGCAGTGATCTCCTTTGCAACATCCTATGATTACGAGAAACATTGACACATTAAATATGGTCCGACGGGTGGCTAATAACACCTACCAGTAAAACAAAAACAAACAAAAAAACTCATTTTACCTCGGTGAAAGTCTCCATGTATGGCCAGACTTCGAACCTAGAGATCCATGGGCGAACCATTCCCTTCTCAGTCCTGAAAGGAACTCTCAGAATGTGCGAGTACTCTGCCCCGTATACTTTCTCAAGACGCTGCCCGCAGGTGGTTCCAACAGCATCCGGCAGCAACCTAGTTATCTGGTAACAACATCAGCAAGATCATGTGTTAAATCAAGACATCAAGACACACAACACGTAAAAACATCGTACAACAAATCTTTGTTCTACTTGACCTCAATCTACCACACAGAAATCAATTGAACTAACTATCTGTCACCCAGAAACCAATTGAACTAACTGAATTGCCCATGCAGGCAAATCCTTATTTGTTATACTTACAATGAGGATTCACTTTGTTCAACTTGACAACAATCTACGACCCAGAAACCAACTGAACTGACTATCTGCTACCCAGAAACCAATTGAACTAACTGAACTACCCGTGCAGGCAAATCTTTGTTTTGTTTGTTCTACTTACAATGAGGATTCGGGGTTTGATGTCAAGCCCTTGCTCCTTAATGCGCTTAATCATCTCGCGCTCCAAGGCAGGAACTTGATCCAAGATGTAAACAACCTGAAAACCGAATCGAGAATGAGCCCAGAACACAGAATTGAACATCAAGAATGTGAATCAGGAACATGTAATGGCACCTGGCCACCGGTGTCGGGGTATCCCAACACATTCTCCTGGGCGAAATAGCCGTGGGGGGAAAGAATGACAACATTGAACACCATAGGAATCCTGCCCAAGAACTTCTCGAGAGTGCACGAATCGGGGGCTTCAAGGAGGTCAAGAAGCATACAGATCATCTCCAGAACACGCTCCGCGGTGTCTCCCCACCCCCTCTCCAACCCGATTTCCTGGAACCTATGTTCGAATTCGGAGTACGGTGTGTCTGCAGGGAGTGTTGTTAGGTACTCCTCGGCCTTCCTCAGCACATTTTGCAGAGTGTTTAGGTTCTGAATCCTGTCATTCAACATCATCGTCTGCAAAAAACACTAAAACCTCTGAAAAAACATCCTTAAACCCTACCCACAACATCAAGATTTGTGATTTTACCTTCCCCTTGTACTGGTGAACCCGGAGGAAGTCTAGGAGAGGAGCCATGCTCTCCTTGTCATGGAACATTTTAGCAGAGAGATGTCTGTTAAGGAACTCAACTCCATTCCCAATAGACTTGGTGAGAGTTGGCTTGGGAAAGGATGCAGTAAATGGCTCAAAATCCAGTTCCAGAACAAAGTTGCCATTGCCACTGCACCACACAAAGCAACAACATTACACATTTTAGGACTGACAAATCCTTAAAACCGTTCTGTCTCAACTAAAAGTCTAAACTAATAGTTAAAAAAACACTTACTTTCCATTCACAAGCTCTTCTTTGAACTGCAGATACTGAGGAACAGTCAATTCCTCAACAGCTAAAGCATTCACATTAACTCGGACATATTCCCAGACACCCGGCCTTAAACGGATAGCAAGAGCAACCCACGGCGACAAAACTATCGCTTCCTGGTTTCATAGTACAAAACATTAATTCCCCATAGGAAAAACCGAAAAAAAAAAAAAAAAGTTGAAATTTTTGTTTACCTGTGTGCATTTGAGAACTTCCTGAAAGGCATGATCGTTGAGTTTATCCTGGTCAGTTTTGCAGATAGCTTCAAACTCAGCCAGCAGTTCATGATGCTTCAAGATTCCTTTCCCATGGCTTTCAATCCTGAAACCCACAAAAACCCATTACCACCTCGGCATTTCATCAACCATAACGAATCAAAAAACCATCTTTATTATTATTTACCTCGACATAAACAACAGAATCTCATTGCGGTGGGCGGCCAGGGTGGCGTCAAGGCGCTCACGGAGGCTGTGAACACGGGTCAGAACACGATCAGCCATGGCAGATTAGCAGCAAACGATCAAAACTGCAAGAAAAAGAAATAAGAAAGTGAAGTGCCCTTCATGGGTTGATCCAAGAGCGGAACTTATAGTAGCAGAAGAAAGAACAGATTGACCGACAATTCAATCTAGAACGTCACAAATTTCCAAACCTAACACCCCATCTGCATAATCGAATTTATTAATTTGATCTTATCCATGGGAATCGAATAAAACAACAACACATGTTATGTATACGCAAACCCAAACCCACTTCCTCTGTTGCATACGTAATTAATTATGTAAACTTCATAATTTTCTACGAGGTGTTCGTCAATCCTGCCCAACTAAACCATCAAATTTTGACTTTTTGTGTTAAGGGTGGCCGACTGGCCGTGACATTTAATTTCTACCAGGAAAATTTACTTTTCTAAAATTCTTTATTTACTTCCAGAACTAAGATCTGAAAGGTGGTATCTTTTTTAGACTTTTTCATATCTCAGCTAAAAAAAAACTAGTAAAAGCTACAGAAATCAAGAAAAAAGGAAGCCAAAACCCCAAACCCCAAACCCCCTTCTTTTCATTTCCCAGAAATCAAAGAAAACCCGCCATGATCATGATCAAAACTCCATTAGCAGAGACAAAGATTAAAACTTTAACACAGAAACCAGGGAAATGAGGCTGTCATTTTTACCTCAGAGAAGAAGAGAGCCAATGCAGGAAAACAAGAACTCAAGAAAGAAAGAAATGAGCAGAAAAAGTAAAAGAGTAACAATGAACACAAAACAGATGGGGGCAAATTAAAGAGAGCAAATGAAAGAGTTTTGCTTTGGTGATGGGAAAAGCACTAGCCAGAGAGGGGTTTTTATACCCAAAAAAAGCAAGCAGTACCCAAAATTTCTCTCTCTCATTTCTTTTTTTTCTAACACGAATACGTGACAATGATGATCAGGAACTGGGGTGGGTCGCTGGTTTTAGGTGCATTGATAATCGCGATACAGCAATCCCCTTTTGTTTGTTTACGTTCAAAGCCATACACTTTGCACACAGTGGCGGTTTCAGTTTCTTTCATTGTACCTTTTTTACCAAACGCTATGTTTCAAGCTCCAAAACCAGCAAACCAGCTTCGGTATTGTACGTTTTCATCACTAATCCTGTGTACCCATTTCTTTAATCCTATGGGCACCTTTTTTTTCCTTTGTAAAAAACATTATTTACTTGACTTTTGTAGAGGACTTGTAGGAGAGTTTGTATGCCATTTTTGGAAGCACATTTCTTTTTTTAATTGCAATTATTTCTCATTTGCTAAAAATAAATACTCCAAATGGTAATTTTCTTTTCCTAGTTGGGAATAATGTTCGGTAGGGTTACATCTAATCATAGTTCGGGTTTTAAACCGACAATTCAAGATTCAAGTATAAAAAGAATTAGAATAAATCTATACAATACAGGTTAAGGTTTTAGCATTTGAACCAAGTTTCGGTTTAGATCTAAACAAACCTTCACCTTCCTCAAAGTTTTGAAATTTACTACATAATAATTACATATTGATTTGATAATAAAGCAAACTCATTAATTAATTGACCTTATCAAGAATTTAATTAGTAACTTAATAAATAAATAATTAATTAATTAATCAACTAATGTCACACTCAATAATAATGTAATAGCTCTCTTAAAAACAACAAAACAAAAACCAAAAACCAAAAACCAAATACCAACTAGTTTGTCTTCTTTGAATTAGTAATTAATATATATTAAATCAAGTAATATATTACTTGTTGGTACCGTTGGTAGAAAACACAAATAATAATCAAAAATAAGATTATTATTTTCTGGAAAGAAGGGAAAAAAAGATGAAGAAATTTGGCTAGTGTTTGGTGTTGGGTTTTTGCAAGAGTCAAGTAAGCACTCTAAGAAGAGGAGTAGCTGGAAAAACAATGTTTCGTGCAGTGTCAACAGTCAAAAATCGCAATTTCTGCTAGTTGGAATTTGATTTGCCCCCCGCGCAAGAGAGCCTCTATGCTATACAATTCTACAAGCTTCAAAAAAGCTCTTGTATATAAGGGGGGAAAATCTTCATTCCAAAGCAATGTGGGACAAAAGCACACTTTTTCCCTTCATTTTCCAACTCAAATGGGTCTACTTTGAGAATCAATATCTCATTCACCCATTATCCGTTTTGAGCGTACAATATATCGATCTCTTCGTCTCACTACGAAGAATCCGAATTCACTTTAACCCGACCCAAATCGGAAGTGGACCCCACTGATAATTGTACCACAAAATAGCCACTTAACATGCCATTTTATGCCATTTTTAGCTATTTTTTTCCAACATTACTTAATATGTATTAATTAGATATAATATATCAAGTCCCACAATGGATAACTAAGTGATAAAAAAAGATAATTATCATATTAAAAAATCATGAATTCGATTCTTGTCAACACAATATTTTGATCAGCATGATGCACACACTAGACCCACATAAACCAACCTAAATGCTATAGCATGGCATTACCCACCCCACATATGATATTGTGTTGAGCTACACTTTAGGCAATTTATATCGTGGACCCTGGTCCAATACACAGAATTTGACTTCATAATGTATAGAATTTATTTTCATATTGTACAGAATTTATGTTCATAATACGCACACATAAACATGATATAATGAAGACACGTGGACACTTCACATAATACACAGAATTCATATTCATAATTTACATAATTCATGTTTATTTCCACCCACATATGAGACTGTATTGACCTTTTTGGTCAAACAGGTATTAGCCTACATTACTTATATTGTTTTTTTCCTTAAAAACTTTTAACCTAAAATTGTAATAATTATTTTTTTTGTAGAACATGCTTCTACCTAAAAGTGATGAGTGATATGATTAATTGTTAGGAATATATATATATATATATATAAGAGATTTTGATAAATCAAAAAATTATATAATGTAATTGTAGTTTGAAAAAAAATTGTATCCCTATATTTATTTTGTAAATTGTTTGCTCAAATTTATCTAAATGTCAATAAGATTTCTTGAACAGTAAAGATTTCCCAGAAGCAACAAAGTTTTTAGAAGAATTTGGGAGGGAGAAGGTTGTGGAAGATTTCAAAAAGAAATAAAGTTTTTTAGATTAATTTCTGAAAGCAGAAGAGTTTTTAAGTGGAAGAATTTACAAAAATAAAGTAAAAGAAATTTCTAAATTATTTATATGCAGCAAAATTTTAAAGGAGAAGAATTTACAAAGAATTAATAAGCATCAAGGATTTTGAAATTAATGAGCAGAATAATTTTTTAAAATTACTCAGGAAGGAAAAAAGTTTTTGAAATTAATAAATATCAAATTTTGAAGAAAAATAATTCTCGTACTAAAAAGTTATTAATTCGATTCTTGTCAAAACACTATTTTAATCAGCGAGGCATAACCTACACACTAGATCCACATGGACCAACCTAAATGCTATAGCATCGCATTACCCCATCCCACATATGAGATTGCGTTAGCTAACTTTATGTAATTTGGGTTGGACACAGACTTAGGCTTACATTACTTATATTATTATTTTCTTTAAAAAAAAAAAAAAAAAAAAAAAAAGAAGAAGCTTTTAAGCCTAAAATTGTAACAATTATTTTTTTTAAAGAATTTATAGCTAAAAGTAATGACTAATATCTTTCATTCATTTGAGTAGATCAATGATTAAGTATTGTCTAAAAATAAAAGGAAAAATAGGTGAGGTCAATTTTATAAATATTATAAACTTAAAAGTTTAAATTAATTATAAAAATGATCTTTATTTTTTTTTTTTTAACTAAAACGCTCAACCACAAATGATTGGATGAACCTTTATGGTGGCTGTGGTCCATCTTTACTTTTTACAGTAGAGAATTGTTCATATTTGAACTCACACACATATATATAGTTCATATCATTATAATTTAGTGGTATTGAATATTGATATAGTACAAGACACTATAATAAAAAGTTATGAGTTTCATTGGAACATTTCAAAGTGTACATTACGATTTATATACTTTTTTTTTTCAGAAGAAGACAAAAAAAAAAAAAAAAAAAAAAAAAAAAAAAAAAAACATTCTCTAATATCTTCTTCTTCTTTTTTTTTTTTCATGTGGTTTTTGTTTTTCCTTTGGCAACTAAAAGATGTGAAGTGAGACATGGTAGAGGAGCCAATTTAGTGTCCACATTATTTTTGTATTTTTTTAAAAAATTGTATAAACAACTGCATTAGCAATTCAGAAGTAATTGAAAGCTTATAAGTAAAAAACACACATCATACTTTTTTCACCAAGTTTAGATGTAATTTTTTTTTATATAAATTATTCATGTTTAAGAGTTTAATTATTATTTTCAAAATAATTCAAAAATTTATTTGACTCTTATTTTTAACCATAATTTTTTTTTAAATAATACACACTTGTAAAAATTAAAAATTAGAAATTCCATAAATTCATAATTGATAAAAGAAAAAAAAAATGACATACGACTATAAAACTAACAAAATAATTTTTCTTTTATAAAATACATTAATTCATTGTTCATCAACGTATATGTGAGCCTGATTTTATAAGTCGCAATTCAAAAACAAAATAAATAAATAAATAAATGACTTTTAAATATTGAGAGAGATTAATAGATTGTGGAGAATTAATGGGATAATGATGACGGAGATATAATTTTTATAATTGAATTAAAATAATAATAATAATAATAATAATAATAATAATAATAATAATAATAATATTATTATTATTATTATTATTATTATTATTATTATTATTATTATTATTATTATTATTATTATATATTATGTTCTTTTAGGTCTTTTTACATGTTAGTTGTTTATCTAAATAGCTAATTTTAACAAATATTTTTTTTTACGAATCGTTGATACAATCCGTTTTTCAAACCCACTAACACAATCCGCTATATGTGAATCGTTAATCTGCTAACCATTGATTCCAAAATGATTTTGGACTAATGGAATATAATTTTTGTGGTTCTGGTGAATGGTTATAGACTTTATTCCAATATTTTGACTTAATTCCAAAACCAAATCATGTCATCATATCAAATTTTTTATATAAAAATAATTAAACTCATTGTTATATAAAGATTATATTAAATTTTAATTAATTAGTCTAAAATATATTGCTGAAACTCAAATGTAATACTTAAAAAGAAATTACTAGGTAAATTCTTTTGACTTGTTGTATCATGAGTGGTTAGTGAAGAATTGACTACTTACTTGTAAATGTATGATTGAGATTTAAAAAGTAATCAAATTATCATTAAACAATTTATTATTGTTTGAGTGGGATTGACGTTATTAGAAATTAATAAAGCAATATCCCTTTTGTTATCTTGTGTTGCAAGCCACAAGACATTGTAAAGTTGTACTACAAAAATAAATAATTAAATTTCTCTAAAAATTATTTCAAAAAAATAAGTGAATGATACATGATTCTTATATTAAAAATTTATAAATTTAATTCTTATCAGTATTCTTTAATTCGAGCGGTTGAATCGAAAACTACCATTGTGACAGATGTTATACCATGGACCAGGACTCACCTTGCAAGGTGGATTCTGATTTTAAATTGTGTATTTTTAGTATTAGAATTGTGAATTTCTAGAATATAAATTGTGTTTTTAAATTTTGAAAATTTGTGAATACAATACAGGGTCATAACAAATTATAAACTTTAAAAGAGGTATACCTTATAAGGTGGACCGGATTCACATAATAATTTGCACTGTGGTTGTTTGGCCATAAAACAGCGGATCAGAGGTCAAATGTTTGGTCATGGTTTC